GGAAAACCTCTAAAACATGCAGGATAGCGGCCCTCGAGGACTGGAGTTTGACACCCCTGCAATAGAGCATCAAAAAGCATAAAAATGTAAGCTTCCTGTGGGAGGGGGGCTGAAACGCAGCCTGCCTTAGGGGAGCATTGACTTGAAAAGAGCGACATCTAGCGGCTGTAATTCAGCTCTGCAGCCCGCGGGTGGAGCCTGACAGCTGGGTGGGCAGACTGACTGATCCGGACGGTTCTGTTACGCACACCTCCGCCTGTGTGTGTGTGTGTGTGTAAGTGTGTGTCCTCCACGAGTTATCTGTCAGAGCCTTCAAGAGGTGGAGGCGGGGTGGGGGGGGGAGTCCATCTAGGGAAGTCGTGTGTGTGAAAAAGCTGAGGCTCTTTTCAAAGTAAGTAAAAGTTAACGATCCTCGTGTTTTTTTGTAAAGGGCTTGTATTGGAGGAGAAGGGCGCAGCCGCGTGTTTCCTCCTCTCAGCCTGCAGAGAGGAAGCAGCACATGGACCGACAGACAGACGGAAGGTCGTCCGGCTGATGCAATAAAAACACCGGAGGGAAGGAAGCTGCTCTCCGCACTAACGCGCGTAAAAAGCGGTCGAATGTGGCGCAAAAAATGCACCAAACGCTTCAGTCTGCGGGCAGTTTGGAAGAAGTTTTGTTCATGTTGACTGTTTTTCAGAGTGAGCGTGAGGAGGAGCAGAGCATGGCCTTTTATAGGAGCACAGCGAAGCGACTTCACTAATGAACCCAAACTGAACCTGAATGAAAAGCCCGGTTTAGTTAAACCAGCTGCAGTTACCCAGTTTAACTTAATTTAAATTGAGTGGCTTACTTGGTAAAGGTTCTTAATTAGCAGCCTTTATTTTCTTTATCAGCGTGCTTTGTAAACAGAAAGTGACTGCATTTCTTTTAGAATTAAAATTAATACCTTTCAAATTCCTTTTTTTTACACTTCGTTTGGTTTTAAAGTAAAATAATGATAAACTGGCAATTTTTACTAAAACCACAGAAGAGATGTGTGAAATGTAAACAAAAACAAAATGCAAATTTTCAAATTTCATAAAATCACGTTGAAACGTTGGTACATAAGAGCAGCACTACTACAACATGTTTTTACTCTAGTAAAAGTAAAAAAGTAGTCATCCTAGAAATTACTCAAACAGGAGTAAAAAAAGTATTTGGTAAAAACCGATCAAGGCATCAGTCATTTAATATTCAAAAATTACATAATCAAATGGAACAAAACATAAAGATATATGTGGAAATGTTGGTATTTCTATAGATCAGAATGAAAATAATTCATATAACATAAGAAATTTAGGCAAAATAAACCATTTTTTCCAAATTAGTTTCTTTTAATATAAAATTTATGAAACAAACAATAACTGCAGGTGAAAACAAGCTTGTTCTTCATTAATTAAATTCACTCAGAGTATTCTGAAATTTTAAGAGTAACGATACTTGATAATAAAATTACTCAAGTAAAAGTAAAAAGTACAGCATAGTAAATGTAATCCTGAGAGTACATTTGTATGTATGGTATGTATGTATATATGTATAGTCTGTATATGTATGTATATGTATGTGTGTATGTACTGTATGTATGTACTGTATGTATGTATGAATGTATGTATATGTATATATGTATGTATGTATATGTATGTGTGTATGTACTGTATGTATGTAC